CCCCCCGCCCATTGCCCTGGCTGGAGCCGTCGCCCCGCGGCCCAGGCTGGGGGGTGTTCTGGGTGGGTCCCGCGAATCTGAGGAGGCGCTGGCCTCGTTCCCCTGGGGGCCGCCACGCACGTTTTGATTCCGAGGGACAGCAAATCCGGTCCAACCAGGCCAACTTTAGAAGAGAAAGACGAAGGGCGCATATTGGCTGGTGGAGCGAGCGGCCTAGGAGCGTCCCGCACACCTGGGTCCCGGGGCCGCGAGCGGCGCTGGGGGCCCGCACCTGGAGGGCCGCACTTGCACCGCCTGCCGCCTCCACCCGTGTACCCGCCCACGTAGTTTTCGGGAGCACGGTTAAGGCTAATGGCCTCTCCTTCAAGACGACAGTGCCGTTTAGTTCGTACTTATTTTTCCTTACAGTGATTTAAAATTGGCACATGTTCTCCTTTAGACCAGTTAGTGGAAGGTGCCCACAGGCCGGGCCCTCCTGGGCTCTTCCACAGGGTAGGCGAGCAGAGCGGCAAGCTCCCAGGGCTGGCCAAGGGCCGGCCGGAGGTGAAAAATACGGGAAGAAAGCAGCAAAAGTGAAATTAGTGTTTACTTACATGCCCACTTCAGAACATAATATGGTGCCATCTTCATCATCCCTAAAGTGTTTAGGAGGACTTCATCCATCTGAACAAAGTTCAGAGAGTAGATTTTTCTTCTTTGCACAAAACCCTGAGATGCTTGATGACTTCCCGGTGGTCCTGGGTTTTGGTGGTCTGTGAGTCGTTTGTAGCCAAATAATTCCAAAAGCAAATTTATAAAAACTCAACATTTTTACAGCAAAACCATTCTTCCATTTCATCTGTGGAAACAGTCTTGAAATGATGTCATGTGGGGCGCCTGGGTGGCTCAGATTGTTAAGCATCTGCCTTTGGCTCAGGTCATGACTTTCTGTCTCAAATGAATAAATAAAATCTTTTTTTTTAAAGATTTAATTTATTTATTTAAGAGAGAATGAGAGAAAGGGAGAGCATGAGAGGGGGGAGGGTCAGAGGGAGAAGCAGACTCCCTGCCGAGCAGGGAGCCCGATGCGGGACCCCATGCCAGGACCCCGGGACCATGACCCGAGCCAAAGGCAGTCGCCCAACCAACTGAGCCACCCAGGCGCCCAATAAATGAAATCTTTAAAAAAAAAAAAGAAATGTCATGTGAGCCTGGGGACCTTCCCCTCCCTTCTGGCCTTCCATTTGGCCTCCAAGCCGTGCTGCCCAGGCCTTCAGCCACCGCCTGTGGAGGGCTTTGCTCCGCAGACACATTCCAGAGTTAGTAACCTGTCCCTTTGCCTGTCAACAATTCTTCCTGTCTCTAAATATTCAAAGGAAACATTGCTGCTTATTAAGCTGGCGTGAGTGATTTCACCACTGGGTCATGTCTGAGTTTCATTCATGACCGGTGCCGCACAAGTGTTTTTATCTAGACTTGTTGGAGTTCCAACTTCTTCCTTTGATTGGATTCCAGGAAGCAGAATTTTGGGCGAAAGAATATAGACTGGCCAGGATTCTCCATACTCTGCTCAGTTTCAAATGGGTTCATTTAAATAATGCCTCTGCTGATTCGCCCACCCACACCCAAGGTTGCACACCCAATGTTCCAGCGTAGATCCCGGTGCAGACATGAATCGGTTAGGATGCAGTCCTTGTGAAGGAGGAGACACGACCAACAAAGAGACTGAGGTTGAGGTTCCCCTGAAACCTGTCTTCGAAGCTCTAGCTGGGCCGTCAGGCCCTCCGCCCAAGCCCTGCCTCCCTCCATGACACAGGGGTCTTCTCACCTCTAGGGCCCCCTTCTGACAACTATCTCTTTCTCCTTTAGGGTTTGGATGACGTTTAAAGGGTGATTTTCTGGAAAGCAGGAAGGAAAGCATCCATGACAAGGTCATGGGTCCCTCCCAGATGGCTGGGCTGCACTGTGTGCACCTCCTCCTGGCTTCCTGGCCCTCACCCACCTCTCACCAGGCTTCATCTGCGTGTGGGCCCTGGTCTGATGGCCCCACCTGGGTGGGACGATGAGGTCTGCAGGCCCAGAGGAGCCCCATTCCCAGGCAACAGTGAGAACAGCAAGGAAGTCTGGACAGGGACCCAGGAGCCCCCAAAGCCCAGAGAACGGGGCCTGGGTCATGTTCTGTTGGGTGGGAAGGATGAGGCCCCCTGTCCTGTGCTACCAGGGCCCACTGCCAAGGTTGTCAGGAAGCACTGACCAGCAGCTGGTTTGGAAAAACAGCTCCTGTTCCCAAACCAGGGACGTGAGCCCTTCCTGGGAGCCTTTTGGGTACCCCTACCCCACACCCTACAGTGTGACCCCTTGGCCTGAACCTGGTGGGGGCACCTGCAGCCTCTGTCCCTGGGATTCAGCCTCTGGGCACCATGGGGTTAAAGGTCATGGAAGCAAAACCACAGGGTTAGGGAGCAGGTCCCTCGCTATCTCAGGCCAGTGTCTGGAGAGCAGTGCTGGTGCGTGAGGGGCCACGCCTGGCCTCATTGTGCTCACAGGAAGCCATGGGCTGAGGTCAAGTCCTGCCTTTGTTCTCTGTGCTGCTGGGGAGGAAGGCCACCCTTGAGTGGAGGCCTCCATGGGAGGGGCAGAGTGGGAGGGGCCACAGCTGATCCAGGCCACTTGTGGGGGGGCACTGGCCAGCGGGTCTACAGGCGGCGCGGGACTCACCCTGCCGTCCCTCTTTCTCCAGCCCCACCCCACCCTCAACCCCACCTCACCTCTTCTCCCAAATCCTCAGTGTTTCCATGATTCTGAAAACCACCCAAGCTCTGGCCCGGATCTTTCCGGAGGAGAACGTGCCAGAAGTGGCTACCTCCATGCAGTCACTGTGCAGTTCCTGCCTCTTGCCATGTCCCCCCGCCCCCACCTGTGCGCTCCTCCAACTGGTCCTCCACTCTGGGTCCCCCGCACCCCCAGGCAGACTAGCTGGTTCCTGGTACCTATTCCAGGTGGGGTAACCACTGGGCAGGAGGGGAGCCACTGCTCTTTGGGACAGCACTGCTCTGACATGGCCCGTGGCCTGGCCTGAGAGGAAGGGAGGCCAGCCAGGCGGGGCACCCGGCAGAGGCCTGGGTTGGGGTCTGGCCCTGTGCTGCTCCCGCCCAGCCAGCAAAGGCCAGAAAGGATTCCAAGGCTAACGCCCTGAAGACTGGAAGCTTGGGGTGGCCTGAGACCCGAGCCCACAGCCCACTCAGATGTCCTGGGGCCCCTGGCCTGTGGCCTCTGTGCCCCACCCTCCTCCTTTCCCCAAAGCAGGAAAGTCCAAGGCTCACAGGTCAAAAGCCATTATTGAGACATGTGGCCTTGTGGGCAAAGCCAGTCCCTCTGGCTCGCTGGTTCTGGCCCTGGCCCTCAAAAGTGGGCCCTCTGACACCAGAGGGGACAAGGCCCAGCCTGGGGTCCGCAAGCACTGCCGGCTCGAATCTTGGGAACCTCCGGATGCCAGGGTTGAGGTCAGGCACCTGCCCCACCCTGCTGCCCGTGGCACCTGTGCAAACTGACCACAGGTGCCTGTATTTCCCAGCAGGCCAGCCCAGGGGCAGCAGACACCTCCTGGCCACTGAGACACCTGAGCAGTAAGGTGGCCTGCTCCCACACATGCGCCAGGAGAGCAGGGGTTCCTGGGGCAGGGCAGGCCAAGGCCACACACGGCTCCAGGAGGCTGATGCTCTAGGACTGGCCTGGGAGGACGGACAGGGAGGCTGGGGGAGAGCTCAGCTGCTCCCTGCCTTCCCCCTAGGCCTCAGGCCTCTGCGGGTGGTTGGGGCCACCCAGCGTCCCAGCACACAGGGCTGTCCGTGTTCTCTTGCGTGTCTGCAGTGCTCACTTTGGCCCCTGGCAAAGCCTTGCCCCACATTCACCGAGACCTGGTTGAGACCATGTGGAACGGGAGAAGGGAGCAGGGGAGGAGAGAAATGAGTGTGCACCAGGGCCTGACCCATGACCCATGACCCATGACCCCAACAGGCCTGGACTGAGCTGTGGTGAGGACTTCCGAAGCCTCTGGGGGCTATAGGTCTCCCAGAGCCCCTCCAGGGGCCCCCTTGGCCCAGCCCTCTGATTTACCTGGGAGCGTGTCCTTTCTGTAGGCTCAAGCCTGCTCCCTCCCAAGCCTCTGCTCTACCCTGCGGGACAGGTGGTGATATCCAGTTCTGTACCCCTTTTGGGGAGGCCAGCTGCTGAGCCCCAGGCTCACCGGTGCCAATGGCAAGGCTGACGTGGGCACCTGGGATGGGATTCAACGTGGAGGCTGCCTGGGCAGGCCCCCTCTCCTGCGTGCATGCCAATGGCGTGCTCAGGGTGTCCACAGACTCCAGAAGCCCTGGCCCACATCTCTGAGCATTTGTGTTGGTTACAAAGAACCAAATAAAGTTGTCAACCAATCCAACTTTTTAAACAAGTCTGTTTATTGAAAGGATCTGAAAATATTGTAATAAGGCTTTCAACAACATCTAACAAATTTTCAAGATATCAACAGTATGAAACATTAAGAATTTACTTCAAAAAATCCAAAGTTTTCTAGATCATTCCAAATCATGCTGCTTTCGGACTTGGTTAATACTTGCTTTTTTGTCTAAACCAGTGACCCAAATCCCAAATGCCACTGTCTTTTGGACCTAAAGCTGGGAGTTTTGGTTCGACCCCCTCTCAGCCCAAGGGAGGCTGGGCAGCGAGCCTTGAACCGTGCCCCGCCCCTGGCGGATGGCAACAAGGGCCCACCTCCCTTTCCAACTCCAGGCCATCGGCCAAGCACCACACTGAGGGCCAGAGGCGCTAAGACACGGACATGGGAGACCACGCTCAGACTGCAGAGCCTGCTCTATGGAGGCCCCTGGCTGAGGGCGGCTGCACGTGTGGCCCCAGAGCCTTTCCATCAGCCCAAGAATGAGGCACGTGACCCTCCACGAGGCAAAGCACAGGCCCGTCCCTGTCACTTCAGAAGTGGGTCCAAGAAAGGGCAGCTTCTGTCCCTTCTGTTCTTGCCAATTCAACAGATTAAAAATGCAGCTCAAAGAGAAATCAGTTACTCAGAAACAGATGCCCGAGTGTAGGACATCTGTCAGGGAACAATAACCAGGGGCCGAAGCCACGTGCACTGAGCCACGACTCCCACCAGACCACATGGGCTCTGGGTCCTACGTGGCAAGCACATGTGCCCACGCCCCACGCGGCCAGCTGGCCGAGGAGCGACCACTGGAATGATGGGAGTTTCCTTGCAAGCCCAAGGCCCACGGGGAGAAGAGCAGAACTGACAAAACACGCCCCCAACCACCTTTTCCTCACTGACCAGTGTGTCCCCATCTTCTAGCTGCAGAGTCACAAAGTACCACAGCGTATTAACTGAGAAGCACCCTCTCTCTCCGTGGACCGTCACCCCCACGGTGAGCATGCTGAACAGTGGTCCCGGCAACAGTGCCACACAGAACACGTGTAAACATCGGAGCAAGGCTCCATTTCACAACAGTACAAATCCCGTTCGCTCTGAAATCTTCAAAGTGTGTACAATAAAATCTGTATATAAGCAGTTCAGAAAGCTTAAAATAATCTCTACAAGGTATACACGGGATTTAAAATACCTTCCAGGGTGCAGAGGGGGCCGTCCCTGCTTCATGAGGAATGTGCATGGGTCTGACCTCCTACCAGGCCACCGCTGGGCTTGCGGGGGCCATAGCGTGGAGCCCTGCCAGCACCTGTCACACCACAGCAGGGCGGGGGGGAGGGGGACCTTGGGACCAAGGCAGGAAGGTGTGCCCGGATGAGGTGCAGGTGCCGAGCAGGAGGGAGAGGGGACCCATCAGCCAATCAAATAGCAGACTGCTCTCTGCTGAAGCGTCCCCTCCGAGTCCTTTTAGGGGAAAAGGTGCAGGATTTAAGGGGAAAATCGTGGTAGCTAAAGGAAGAGTTTTGACTACAAGACATTTATTTTCAACACGGAAAGACAAATCAATCCATTCTGATCCCCTCTGAATTTCAACAGACTGATTGAAGCACAGGTTGCCTGACAAGGAATCACAAAGCACACATCCAGCTCTGGCGTCCTTGCCCTGGGACCAGGCTCTGAGCGACAGCACAGGCACACAGTGTGGACTTAGGAGGCCCCACCAGCACTCACTTTTCTTATTTAGAAATGCAAAAAAGAAGTCAGATTTAAAATGTTAAAAATGGCTGATCTGGTCGACAAAAGGCAGATTCCCGGCTCTTCCCCTGGTTACAGACAAAAGTGCTGTGACTTCTGACGCCTGACTCGGGGCTCACAGCACACGTGCTCAGGTCAGCCGGCTCCTGGAGGCCAAGTGGGAACGAGGCAGCGGAGCAGCTTTGGGGCTCTGGAGTCCCGAGTGTGGATGGCAGGAGCTCTTCCTCCTCCTCCTCCGTGAAGTGCGCCTGCTTCTTCCGCACGTTCCAGTGCAGACACTGCGCCAGGCTCTCAAACCAGTCGCTCACGGGGTCTCGGACGCAGATGGAGGGGAGCGGGTAGCAAGAGGTAGTGATGCTGATGCTGAGGCGGGGGGAGACAAGCAGAGCACAGGTGAGCCCACAGCATCAGGCCAAGACCCGTTCCCAGGGGCCATGCCCACCCCAGCCCAGCTGGGGATCATCTCAGTTCTGCTGGTGCCACTTGCTGCACAGCCCGGGGCCCATCTCACCCTAAGGACAGGTGTAGCCGGCAGGGACACCAGGGCAGGCCGAGGTGAGGGGCTGTGGATCTGTCACCGCCGCCCCCCACGTACAGCAGAACATGGGGCAACAGGCTGCCAGCTGCCCGACAGGCTTGCGTCTCCCCCCGCCCCCCCCCAAGCAGCTCTCAGTCACAGAGCTCTGCCTGTGGGGCCTGCACAAGCCAACCTCAACAGGGGTATGAAGGCAAGCATACCCCTCACACCTACTCCTCGCTCCGGCCCCGAGGCTCACATACCTGTCTCCATGGCAGATCTCCTGTCTCCTTCGTCCATCAAAGGACACCCATA